CTCTCTCTCTCTCTCTCTCTCTCTCTCTGTCTCTCTCTCTCTCTCCCAGAAAGGCAATAATAATTGTCTATTTTCATTTCCCTGAGAGCTTGAGCGTTCTTCAAAAGCACACTCAAATTTTCCGTAACGATTGCTCCCTCCCATGCACTCGCTGTTCCCTCGTTAACACAAATGTCTTGAAATATTAGAAACGATTTTGAGTCTTGTTGCATCTTTGCGTCCTTTTGTCCAGCCATCTCCTTTATAAGACCACGTTATTTCCACAGCCATTAATTTTTATGAAGGGCTTCTTCTCTCTTCTTTGCCTTTCGCTATAGACACCCTCTTCACACTCATTACTCATTTAATTGGATATCCGTCCATGCTTCCATACCTTCAAGCGCAGTCAAACATCACCTCTTTTAGCGCCCGTCTACCCTGCACGGGCTGCAACCCCCCCTCCCCCTCAAAACAAACAAACAACAACAACAACACACAAAAAAACCACACAAAAAAACTCGGAGAAAGAGCTTCCCGTTTCCCCAAGAATGTTTATTATCCTCCAAGTAACCAGACAAAAACCAAAGATATGTCCTTAGGTCCTCTTTCTTTGAAAAGAACTTTAATTGGTAGCCGAGGGCGAGCAGGCTTTTCCTGCTTCTGTGACAGGACTCTTCCAAACGGACTAGGTATGTGTCACGACACGGTGGGATCAGGCGCTCGTCAATTTTTGGGTGTATATATATATTTGGAGTTATTTGTATCATCTTAGAGCTTGCCCATTTGTTTTGTTGTTGTTGATTAAGAACGTACCCTTCTATCTTAAACAGAAGTAGAGATTTGAAGTTAAGGGATGTGGGAGTCACCTGGTGTCAGAAGTAAAAGTAGCTAGAGATTGATGCCCGCCAACGTTTTTGTGACATCCAAGATTGAGTGTCAGTTAGAAACTGAAAATTTACAACTGTTGTGCCGTTTGTGTCTTTGATAAACGCGCTTCAGTAAAAATCAACACAAAGAAATGTCTCTTTAAATAGACCTGGAAGGTGCTGACCACTTCCCCCCC